CTTGACTTTAGTTATGAGATATTGTTGGTTAACTTTCGGNGTTGACAATAAAAGCAACTCTCTTCTTTTATCCTTTATAAAATCAAATATAAAATCATTCGATTTTGGTTACAATCGTAAAGTTTTCTTCTTTCCTTTTGTTTTTACATTTGAATAAAGCTCTATGAGCTATCGATTTTATGAATCTCTTTTAAATCGTTGCTTAAGCTCTTATGAGTTTGGATAAACACTTGTTTGGTTTTTGCTAACAATATTAACATATATCCTACACCAATTTGGGACTCTTCGGGACAAGAGAAAGAAGGGCAATGTCACACACGTGACTTTTCGACACTTTTTTTTTTTTGTTTGGGTTACACTTTTGAATGTCCTTTTAACGTGAGTTGGGCTTATTCTGTTTATCAAAATGTTCGAGCAAATGATCAAGAAACGATGTAATGTACACCACTTATTTGTGGTTCTATTGTTCTAATATTTATTTGGAAATCAACCATGATTTAACTCTTACGTCTTCTCTTCATTTGCAATTGCTTTTTTGCTTGTGCAAAAGTATATATAAAGTTTGAATTGAGTTAAGTAGTAGCTAGTTAAAAGACCTTTTGATTGATAAATTATTACTAAATTCAGCAACATGAAAATCTATAAAAAAGAAATTACAAGATAAATATATGAAAGTGTAACTATGAGAGATGAAAAAGTGATATATGACTATGAGAGAAGCATAAGAGACAGACGACAAATAATTGATAAAAAAAAAAACACATCAGTAGAGAGTCGTGCGCGTGAAATCACGCGCTACGATTCTTCACAAAAACTCACCGCCGAACAACTCGCCGCCATCGTTTTCGCTCTGCCTCTCCGGTTCCGGCCTCGGCTGGTCCCGCGAGAGGGCCCCTGCCCGGCCCGTCTGCCACTTTGGTTCGAAAGAGCTCGTTCCCCTAGATGCCCTAGATCTGAGAAGCCTTTCTCGGCGAGATGGTCGGAGAACACCGTACGTGACGGCCGCGTCTTGGTGGTGAGGAGCGTGGTCACTGGCGGCTTCTGCTTGTCGCGGGTGAAGCGTCTTTAGGCCTCGATAGCTATTCCTCTGCATCAGCCTCACGGTGCTCGACCGGTGTGGATCTTCGTAGATCCTCCTCCTCCTCTGTGTTTCCGGCGAAGACTCGGTGGGATTGGCCTCAGAGCGACGTCCGGTGGTCTTGGTTCAGCTGATTTCTTCTCTTTAGGTTTCACTCTCTTCCAAGTGCCCTTGGGAGATCCGCCGTGCTAAGGGATGCCTCTGGTGGTTACCTTCTCTCCGTCATTCTCCTCTGCTTGGGGTGGGTGGTGATTACGGCATTGAGTACGGTTGCTGTCCTATCCATGTTTCCCTTTTGTTCTCCTCTTGGCTTGTTCTCAGTGAGATTTCAGGGAGTTGGGGAGGATGCTTTTTGTTGCAGGTTATTGTTCTCCCTTGCTGCTTGATGCCCCATTCTCATAGGTTAGGCTATTTGGAGTTATTGCTTCTCTTTGGGGTGGATTGCTTGGTCCACGGTCACTTATTGCTCGATTAGGCTTGTGAGGATGGATGCATCTCAGATGGAGTTGTGCAGGGACAGTGCTCTTCTCGTTTCAGGTATGTGTCCATGGTTGCCCTTGCGAGTGTGAGAAATTGGGTTTAGTGGTCCTGGATCAGCCACTCGCCTCTTGCGTAGAAGTAGATTTTGATGTGGTTCTGCCTCCGGTGGAGGTGTGCACTGTGTCATCCTTTCCGCCTCTGCGTATTCTAGTCTCTCGGTGGTTATCGGGCCTTGGTATTAAGTGTATCTTCATAGTGTATGGCTTTGTTGAGGTTGTGGCATTGTTAAGTTGAATTGGTTCTTTTGCTCTTCATGGAGCTTTAGAGGAGAAGTAAGACTAATAGTGTTAGTACTTGGTTTGAAGGATTAGTTAGCTCTGTGCTTGCCGTGCCCTAGGAAGAGTGAGCTGCTGCTAACACAGGATTTGGTTTAGAGGTTTCTCGCTGTTCTAGCTCATGGAAATGCTCCTTGAGTGACTCTCACTTGGCACAGTTGGTGCAAGTGATCGAGAACTGTGAGGTCGTTGCCGTTGACGGTTCAGTTTTTGGGCCTCGTGTGAAATGCTTCTACTGCTTCGTGGTTTGCGTCATCTCTCTCGCTTCTCTCTGCTTACACTTCGCGAGATGTGGACTTGGGAAGAACATTTTAATATCGTCATCACTTCGTCGTATTCCAAATGCCTTTGGCTTTGTTGACGTGACGGACTGAAAACCGGTTGAAACTATGTATCCATGTTTTTAATTTTTTTTTGCCGTGGATGCATGATCATTAGCTTATAGTCATCGATTGTAAGCTAAGAACATTTTCATTGATAATGAAATATTTACCAAGCATAAGAGAGTTCAGCTTTTTTAGTTGGGCCTTGCACCTTCCGGATAAGTCAAGGCACGCTTACTATTTTTTTTTTTTTTAATTCGCTACAAATTTTTCTCCCCTGAAATGATTCTTAGTAAGAATTTCGTAGAGATCAATTTAGTGATAATAAATCAAATTTGGGATTTTGATCTTTATCATAGTAAAAACGTAACATAACTAAAATAGTGAGTTAAAAAAATATTAAAATGGAGATATAATTTTTTTTTGTCTATACAACTCCTTTTCCGTGTTCCTACAAATCTCACGGAGCTCGAGAAACTTTGTTTGCTTTCTCAGTTGATGGCCGTTAACGGAGGTCGACCGTTACTAACGTGTTTAGCTTCTCCGTTAGATAGCTGCATTTGTTTGGATGACTTAAACGCTTTCAACAATTCCTCAAACGACGGCGTTTTAAGTTCTTCAATCGATCCAACCGTTGGAATGTTGTATTGTCTCTTCCTCGGCGTTGAGCTCGTCGCTTCATCCACCTGTGGAATTTTGTTTTCAGTAAACATTTTAATTTGGTTTTTTGTCTAATTCATCAACTCAACCATATGATTTTGATCATAATCGTTTACCTTGTACTCGTGACCAAGACATTTCCCTGTGTTCTGTTTGATTTCGACAACGTTGTCATCGTGGTGGGTTCTTACTTCTTTTAAGTTTCCAGAACAAGGAGCGATTGTGGAATTGATGTCCGCTGATGCGTCTTTATCGAGCTGTAACGAATCTGCGAAATGGAAAGGTTCAAAATTAAGGCAAGTGATTATATAAATGGATAATATATATGCGGAAAACAGAATCATGGTTACTTACGGTCAATGGATGAGAGGATATCGCTGTTTGCGGAATCCACATCGCTTAAAGTAGTTTTGACCGCAGAAGAAAACTGAGCTCGTAGTTTATCGTTGTTTTCTTTGGCTCCTCTGGTTTGTTAACATGGGGAAGAAGATAAGTTTCAATTTGGAGGATGTAATAAATAACATTTGCAAGAGTAATATAAGGAGCATTACCGGATGATAGAATCTGCTGTTGCAACATTCCTTCTTTCTAGATCGAGCAATGATTCTTGAGCAGTCTTCCATTGTTGAGTTCCGCTTCTTGAATTCTCCAGGCTAGGTAATCAATCATGGTTCACAAAGGATTAATAACCCGGTTTAGATGATTTTTTTGGTTTAACAAAAGAGAATACCATTTTAGAAGCAGTTTCTGCATATCTTCCTTTGCAACTTCAACTGCAGAAATGTTATCGAGATGATGAGATTCTGCTTGGTCCATGTGAGCATTCCATTGAAGTTTGATGGACGAAGCTGAATCTTGCATCGCAGACATTTCTTGCTGCAATGCACCGGTTTGGGAAGATGATCCTTCACGAATATCCTGCACAGCTATCTGAACCAATTCTTTCTTCCTTGCGTGTGAACTTGCTAGTAATTCTGCCACTTTCTCAAGCATTTGTTTTTCTTCATTTGCAATGGATTCCTGAATGACCAAAGTAGAAACCATATCGTTATAAATCTAGATGTGTACAGTAAAATGTGATGAGGAGTAGCAAAACCCACCTCAAATTTCTTTGTAAATGCATATAGTTTCTGCTCGTTGACGTTTTGAGCTTCTTCTGCTAACTTTGTTAGCTTAGTGGCATGCGTGTCTAGCGTCTTGAAGAAGTCTAACATCACCGTGGAGATGGACTTAGCGGACTCCATTGATCGGGAATGCAATTCGCGCTGTTGCTGTGTGAATGCAGAGAGCTTCTCCTCTTGATTGTGAAGGCTACCTTGAAGCCCTTCAAGTAGTGCGTAGGCCTCTGATGTGAATCCTTTAAAGATCTGATTACACACCGAGTCAAAAGTCAATTATACGAATATCAGCATCTTTATGAAATTGAGGACATGATTCTATTCTTACATCTTCCAATGCACTAGAATGTTTTGTCACTTCCGAGTTCAAGTCATTCAAAGTTGATTGGCTGTCTTTATCCATATTCCCTGCTATATCATCTAACGACTTGATGCCTGAATTGTACCTTTCCTTCAACTGTGCTAAAGTTCCCCGTAGTGTTTCAGTAGCCTGCAGAGAAGACGACAAAAAGTTGGTTTTTGTTTGTGTAAACATGATCGAAGATAGGCATCACATTGTTTTTCATGTTACCTCTGTCTTTGCAGATACGAAAGATGCCATAACTTTTTCCATGTCTAGCAACTGTTTTTCTTGCTGGGTCACTGAAGCTGCAACACTGTTGTTTAATAGCTCAAGTTGCTGTAGTAGTTGTGACTGGAAGGCTTGAATAAGCGATCTATTACTGTCTTCAATTTTGTCCTTCCTCTCTGGAATCAATAGCTTAGTGAGCTTTCAGAATGTGATGGAAATTTGGGAGAGAAGAGAGAGCAATACAAACCAATTTTGGCGAACAAGTTGGAAACATCAGATGCTGCATTTTCCAATTCTGCCTGAAGCTCGACAGCACGGTCAACAAGTGTTTTCTCTGAGAAAATGTGAAAAAGGTTAACCGAAGTATCATCTGAAAGACACTACTATCCAAACTCAGCCTGTACCCACAAAGGCACATGGAAACCAACTTACCAGATTTAAGGAGATTGGATATCAAGTACTCTTTTTCCTTAATTGTTGCAACTGCCTGTCTATGTTTCTCTTCGAGATCTAGCAATGCTTGTTCAGTTTCCCAGAGCTTTTTCTGAAATCAGAAAGAGTAAAAGAAGGTAATCCTTGAATGTCAGAGGAAAGGGAAACTGTTTTTGGTAACAAGCTAGAAAAAAAACTTGTCGTACCTCAGTCTTATCAAGCTTCTCTCTCAATCCAGCAGCTACAAGCTGTTCGGAGTTGTACAGCTCTTGAAGCACAACAATTTGCTACATTCAACAATCAGAATAGTGAGCATAAACCTACTGTAATATAATCTTACAGCCAAAAAGCAAAGAAAAAACTGCACAATAATCTTTGAATTTGAACTGCTCACCTTGTCTTTAGCTTCACCGTCTACTTCCATTTGCTCTATCTTTTCAGCCATAGCCTGCAGTAACCGATACAGAATGAAGTCTGAATCTATCATATAAAATTTAAAATGACTGTGGCACTTAATCCTTAATAAGAACTGCACCTTTTTCTCCGCTTCTTCTTGCGTATACCTCTCCTTTGGAATATAAATTCCATTTTTCTCCCTTGCGGCATAGACCTCTGAACAGTCAAGAACAATCACGCAACCCAATCAGCTTACTGTAAGTATTTATTAAACAAAGGAGGAGGCTCTCAACATGTGACAAATGCATACCTTGCTTCAAACGTTCAATTTCGGAATACAAATCTTTCATAATAGCTGATTTCATCATCTTCTGGTTAACCTGAATGCAAAAGGAGGAGTGTTAAATAAGTAACCTAGCAGAAATAAAAGAGTAGCATATATCTGACGGACCTCTGGTTTATTTTTGATGTGTTTTGCACGGTGTGCATAATCAAGGGTACTGAGTGTTTCTTCCAAGCAATGGACAGAGGGTGAAACTGTAGCAATTACGCATGTTTTTGTTTTTCCTCCCAATGAGTCTCTCAATAATCGTGTCAACTTGCTTTCTCTGAAATTTAAATGCATATAATCAATCATATGATTAGAAACCTGTAGATCATGACAGAGATCTGTGAAGACAAAATATTTCTGTTACCTATATGGAATATGACCAGAGTGTTCAACCAAAGCATTTATGACACGTCCAAGTGTGAGCAAACTTTTGTTGATCTCGCCAGCTTCCCTGGCTCTACCCTGCAATAGAGTAATTCTCATATTGTTTAGTAAAATCATCGAAGGTAGGACTCACTATTTTTTCTGTCAACCTAAAAATCATAGTTCTTTAGAACCCATTTCTGTACATGTGTAATTCACAGCATTGATAAATTAGAGAAGAGAAAGTCTTTACTGTTAAGTGTACCTCTCGAGCACCAGATCGTGAAATATTCTCGGAACCAGCAAGATCAACTAGATTTAGCTTTCCACTTTTGACAATCTCTTCCCCCTCGGGAGTACATTCCTTAATGTGGATTGTAACCGAAAATATTGAATGAGATCTACTACTTTGTTTGTTGAGAAGAGTCTCTGCTGTGCGTCTTTTGGCTGACCCTTTCTCCAAGACTTTGTAAATCTCATCAGCAGTAGAAACTATTTCTTCTTCCAATCCTCGGACAAAAACACCACCTTTTCCATCTTCCATAAGGGCCAGAGGTTTCTTTGATTTATCATCTGTGAATTTTGTTTCTTCCGGTGCTAAAAGGTCCGTTAATTCTTCATTGTAGAGCTCAAGAAATGAAACTTTCAAGCTGTATTCAGCAGCACTTTGTGTTTCCAGTATGTCAAATATCTGTTTTACTGCTCTAGGGATAACACCAGCGTCACTCGGGATTTCTCCATTCTGACAAGAGAGAAATAGGTTCCATCAAATGAGGATGATTCATTTACGATCAGTGAAAGATGCTTCAAATGATGTTCTTAAAATGGACGATGTACCTTTTTTCTTGCCCCTCCTTCCATTGTGTATGTCTTTCCAGTTCCTGTTTGCCCGTATGCAAAGATTGTGCAATTATACCCATCAAGAACCTCAAATACAATTGGAGAAACTGCCTGATGATACAGGTCCTTTTGTTGGGATGTTGGCCCAAAAACCTAACAGATATTCATACAATTTGTAAGCAGGATGCAGAGATACCATTTTCCCAATCTTTACCAACCGATGCACACTATCTAAAAATCCCTAAAGATTCAACCAAGAACTTAAAATGAGATAAAACTAACATAAAAGACTTCACAGCTAACACATAAGAAAGTTTAGAATGAGATGAACTAAACCTTGTCAAACAAAAATGTTTTATCAATCTGCTTCCCAGCAATATTCTGTGCAACCGCCACTTCCTTTTTCCGGTCATTGCAGGTAAGCACCGCAGGTGTTTGTAACCTCGTCTCCTCCGAATTAAAAGGTCTGAGAATACACCATTTCATTAAAACAATAAAAAGAAAGTAACTACCGTCCTGCCTTAAAAGGAAATTATAGAAATGTACCTGCAACGAACAATAACTTGTATATTCACACCCTTTTCTTTCTCATTCTTGGTAGCTGGATTAGAGTTTGAGTCAAATGTTCTGAGATCTCGATTTGACTTATCAGTCGAACGTGGAGTTTGACATGGTGATTTCGTTGAACCTCCTCTTTTCGATTGGTTAGAATCCATCTATTCGCCTTCTTATAGTTCTTAAGCAACAAAAACTATGTATCCCTGCATCAAGGGAAACAAAATCGTTAAGCGCAATATCAACCGCCATGGTAAGTCAAGGATCCCACACAGATAAGTCAGGAAAACTCAAACCTCCATTGACCTAATAAACAGATCTAATACTCTAGAAGCCATGAAAAGGATCAAAAAAATTTATGAGGATTCAGCGAATCAAGCCCTAAACGAGTTCGTAATTTCAAATTCGAAATTCCTACCCACAAATGTATACAGGTTAAATCCCAAAATCGCGATTAGAATCGGCAATGGAAGATATGAAACTTGAAATGCGACTCCAAATCACCAGAAATTTGATGATACAGGAGATTACCAGCAAAAACTGTACCGATCGAACAGAGGATTCAGAGTTTAGATTCCGAATCCTGGAAAGCAATCTCGTAGAATCAAGCGATTTCGAACAAATCGATTTGAAAAATCTTCAGGCGATGATGGTTTATGGTCCGAC